TACATACCAGAAAAAAAAAAAATGGAACATTACATCCCAAATAGATAATTGAGATTATCTAGGTCATATAATTATGGACAATTTTTATCTTCTTTGGACTTCTCTGTGTTTTCTAAATAGTCCCAATTTATTACTTTATAAATAAAGGGGGTGGACAAATTATTTTCAAAATAAATATCCTAAAAAGCAGAATCTTGATTCTTACCAGAAAAAATAAAAAGAGAGGAAATATTTGAGTTCCATTCATTCCTTTTTCTTTGTATTTGGGCCACCCTAAGTGGTAACTAAAAAGGTTCGGAAGAAGCGCCCATACTTACATTCCTGTTTGAAGGTGAAGTATTCTGTAAGATGCCTGCATTCATGATTTCCTCGAAGCAGAAACAATGTTTTGGGATGATTTATCTTTAAACTCCATAAATACAACACACACTGCAAGACAAATTCAAGGACAAAATTACAAGTAATAAATTTTTGCTAAATGTTACTTATGATCAAAGCACACCAGAAATTATAAACATATTTATAATATATTTGGGAAACAGGTAGTAAATATACTCAATTCACAAACCAGAACTAAGATACTAAGATACTCATTAACTCTATAAAGATGCTGCAGTGTTTTTCAACACATTCCTGGTGATCCCAACAGTCTAATCTATCAGCTAGATTAAGCATATTATAAGAAAATATTTCAAGAAAAGGATACAGTATAGCAATAGCATTAAAGTAAAGGTATGTATCACAGCCAAAGGCTTCCTCACAGCAAGGGGTGTAGAGAGACCAGGAATCACTGAACATCTTGGAACCAGGAAGTCCAAAATAAGAGTGTAGGATGAGTTATTATTATTAGTTTTTATAATGGATACATTTTGTTGGTCATGTAGGCAAATTCCTGCTTTGTAATCAGCCTCAACAGCAGAGCTCTCCAAGATCTTACTGAAATAATGCAAATCATCAATCTCACTATTTTCAATCAACAATTTAGACAAATAATTACAAACTAGCCAGAAATTCATTAGACTCAGGATAAAGCAACACTTCTCTGTTGTTGAAATTGTATACTGTGGAACACACATCAATTCAACAATTTCTACACATATAATTCAGTGACACTAATTACATTTTTTGAGTTGTCCAACTAACTATTCTCATTCTCCTTTTCTGAGTTGTTTCTTCCTCATTAACATAAATTCACTGCCTCCTAAATTTCCTATTTAATCTTGCTATTGTAATTTTGATTCCATATAGATAAATCATAAAAAACACAATGCTTAAGGTACACACTTTTTATTAGTTAAGCTAAACTACTGTTTGATTTTAAGAAGACTTCAGGCAATAATTTTGGTTTAAGGTTTAACCTTTTCGTGATCCATGAGATATATATTACCCAACAACATTTTCAGCTTCTCTGGTTTCTTGGCAAGCTGCTATCCCACGTGTAGTATGTGCTACTACTACCTGGTGTGGACCTGTATAACTGTGTGAATCTGAAGAAATGGGCCTCACCTCACCATCAGAGTCCACTTGGGACATATATGTCCCACATAATTGTATTAAAATCCATTTATTACCTCAAAAAAAAAATCATTTCCCTCAATTTTAGCATGACTTGCATTATTGAAAAAACATGCTATCAAAAAAAAAAAAAAAA